GAGAATCTCAACATTTAATTGTGCAAATCTCTTAAACATCTAGATTTTTGAGGCTTTGAAAGCACAAGGCCTTCAAGGATCTTTTTAGCTCATACTTTTCATTTTATCAGTGACGAAACTGAGGCACAGAATGCTAAAGTGATTTGTAAAAAGTCTCCAGGCTGGTTAATAACAAAACCAGTACTATTGCTCAGGTGTTCTGATTGCCAGTATAAATATTCTCAGTAATTGACTCATGGTTCTTTATGCATGTCCAGAAGGAATTCAGAAATGTAGAGTTAGAAAAGGTCTTGGTGCCCTGAGTTGGCCTTGGTATGGAAATCATTATTTCCTGTTCCTGATGGACAGGGAGCTGGCTTCTCTTTGCACCAACTGCATTTTTGGTTAGTTCTGTTAGTTTTCTCTTAAATTGGGTTGGAATCTGCTTCCCTCTTAACAGTTGGACACATGCTCCTAATTTTATTCTCCGAAGCTACAATACTTCTAATCTTAATTCAAATTCTTGCCAGAGAATATGACTATTATTTGTATCACTTGGATAATGCAAATAAAACTTATTTAGGAAAAGACTTAAGTAGATCTAGCATGTGCTCCAACATATATTATGTGATGTTTACATTCTGTAGGTCAAACTGGTCTGGAGGAATCTTTAGACACCAACAGCTTAGAAGTAAGGAGGAAGATTGGTGCTGAGATAGTTGCTTGGCACAGCCTGACAGTTCCAGGGTCAGAATTTTGTGCAGTAAGCAGATTTGAATCCTTGAATGCTAAAAACACAAGTTTTCCCAATTCCACAGAATAGAATTTGAATAATCAGGTTGTTTCAAAAATCAGTAAAAAGCCCGCCATGACTAGTTCAGAATCACCATTCTGTAAACCTAAAAACTAAAAGAACCAAATTAAAAAAAAAATTGGAAAATATATCCACAGCAAATGAAAGGAGATAGTTTCTGTAATAACATTTAATGTAGGCTAATTAATTTATGGGTAAACATCACTTTAAGTAAATCCTACACATGAAAAAACACACTTATTACCAATATTTAGAAGTGGAATATTTATTTTACCATATTCATCATGGTTTATTTAGGTAACAAGTTCTTCTAGTATATCAGTTTGATTTATAGTAAAATGATTCAAAGAAAAATTTACTGATGGGCTGGCCTGTTAGCCCAGTTGGTTAGAAAAGTCGTATAACACCAAGGTCACAGGTTCGGATCCCTGCTCTGGCCAGATACCAAAAAAAGAAGAAACAAAAGAAAAATGTATTGAGGAGGGGATTGAAAGGATGGGGAACAAATACCTTTATTGAATATCCACCATATGTTGTACATAACTTAATCTATTAATATAAAATAGTGTTCTAGATGGAGAAACGGTAGCTCAGGACCATTTCTTGCTTGTCAGTATTTGGAAAGTACTGCTCTTGTTGGGCACCACGTTAAAGACTGTTTTTTTAAAAATTATTTTTAATTGACACATAATAATTTACACATACTTGTAGGGTACAACGTCGGTTTATATACAATGTGTAATGATCAAATTCAGGGTAATTGGCATATCCATCACCTCAGACATTTGTCATCTGTTTGTGTTGGGAACATTCAAAATGCTCTCTTGTAGCTATTTGAAGTTACGCAATAAATGTTTAACTGTAGTCACCCTGCAGTGCTATAGAACAGTAGAACTTAGTGCTGTCGAGCTGGAAGTTTGTATCCTTTCACCAGACTCCAGTAACCACCATCCTACTCTATACTTCTGTGAGGTCAACTTTCTTAGCTCCCACATATGAGTGAGAACATGCGGTATTTCTTTGTGCCTGACTTATTTCACTTAACATGATGTCTTCCAGCCTCATCCATATTGCCATGAATGACAGGATTTCATTCTTTTTTGTGGCTGCATAGTATTCTATTGTGTATATATACCACATTTTCTAAAACACAGCCTCTTGCATAGGTTTTTCAAGATCAGTTGACCGCAGTGGGATCACCTGTAGCATAACTGAGAGTTGTTGAAATTTCCTTTACAAGGTCACATGAGTAATTTCCTACAAGGCCAATTAATTCTGTTACTTTCATTTCACCATTTTTAGAGATGCACTTTCTCCCCTTTTAGTTTTCAAAATCTTTAGAAAGTGGAACCTTTTCTTCAAAGAAAATATTGTGAGAACTCCAATATATAACAGATTAAGGTGATATATTATAGCTGTAAAGATTCAAAACATTAGTTTTAAAACCAATGGGATTTATGAGATTGAAACATACGAAATAACTAAATCAGAGTCTAATTAAAGTCTAATTTATTTCAATAGTGTTTGGGTTACATGCTATTGAGAGAGCCTTGATTTGTGCGAGTCAATAGTTATAGATGATAAGTTTTAAATAATTCAGCTTAGTATTTGCGAATATGCTTTAGTTAAACAGTTCCAGAAGTTTGAAAGAAGAGCAGAGGGAAATTTGTTTCAAAGTTGAGTTATTAACAATATCTAACAATTCATGTAATTTTTTATTTTGTAAATGTTAGATTTAGAAAAAGCACATAAAGTGGTTTCTTATGAGTTTAAATCTTTTTTGTAGAAGCTATAACATTGAAGTGTTTAAAAGTATCATTTTTACAAAATCACAGATGCTTTCATGGCTGTGTCTATTCAAGGCAGATTTCCAGTTTTGCAAGTTTTCACATTATCCAACACCGACTGGATGTCTAACAATTCAATTCTGACCTTAATTATTTGTAGTTAGTGCAGATCCCAGCAGTTAAGGGCTCAGTCTTACAAGACTTTGCCCACTTTAGATGCCAGTCACAAGTTCCTGTAGTTCTGACCAACTGGCTATAAATTCAGCAATTCCCGTAACCCCCTCCTCAGGGTTCAGTAGTTTGCTAGAACAACTCACAGAGATCAGGAAAATACTTTACTTACATTTACTAGTTTGTTAAAAAGGACACACCTCAGGATAGCCAAATGGAAGAGATGCACGGGGCAGGGTAAGGGGCCGTGGGTGCAGAGCTTCCGTACCCTCTCCAGTATTACACTCTCCCCAGCAGTCAATGTGTTTGCCAGACTGGAAGCTCCCCAACCCTGTCATTTAGGGGTTTTTAGAGAGGTTTCATCATGTAAGCATGATTGATTAAATCATTGGCCATTGATGATTGAACTCCAGTCCTTCTCCCCTCCCTGGAAGGGGGGTTGGGGGGGCACTGATAGTTCCAACCCTCTAACCTGGCTACCAGCCCCCATCCTGAAGCTATCTAGGGGCCCCCAGCCCCTTTCACTCATTAGCATATAAAAGACACACTTAGCACTCAGGAGGTTCCCAGGACTCTGTGCCAGGAATTGAGGCAAATTTTTATTATATCACCTGTGTTGAATTTAAAAAGCTGACCACATGCACAAAAACTTAGTGATAACTATCTATACCTTGATAGAATCACAACTTGTTTTTGTGCAACTGAAGGCTAGTTGTATAACAGGGTTTTTTTTTTTTAACTGAGCCTGTTGCACATGGACACACATGGACATTTGCAGCCCTAGGCTTTTGATGGTGTATTTTTATTGTTGTTTGTCTACCCTTCCCCTCAACAGCACAAAGACACAATTCATAACAGTTCATTAGAGGTAATAAAATTGGCACATATGAGTGAAATTGTCAGTACTATACACTTTAAAATGTTCTCATTAAAACTTGGTGTGTTATGCAGTTGAGTTTTCAAATTTTTTATTATGAAAGTTTCAATACTATACAGCAGAGAAAATAGTACCGTGAAAACTCTCAAATACCTATCTCCAGACAACTGTTCTCAAGATTTTGCTGTATTTACTTTCTGTTTTTTAAAGCAAATCCCAGATATCATGCATGGAGAGCTTTTTAAAAATTACTATATTAATAATAGTTAAATACATATTTAAAGACAAAATTTAAATTGGACATTTGCAGAACACCTGAAGCATCTCTGCAAGGTACAGTTTGTAAGCCACTACCCAATTAGTCATAAAGGAACCATGAGAAAGATGTCAGTGCCTTAAGGATCTGTTCCATGATGCTTTGCTCTTTGATCCAGGATTAGGAAGTAGGATTATAGGGTTGTCTCTGAGTTTCCTTTAAAATCATGAGACATGATTGATGAAAACCAATTTACTCGCTTTTTGTTGCCACTCTATTGTTTCCAGTATCTAAGTCAGGAAAGTACCTAGTTTGGGCTTTAAAGAAATTCTCTTATTTATACCTTTCTAATATTCGCAGCGTTTTTGCCTAGTAAGACCCCCTCCCAAAAAACGATCTTTATTTTTCAAAAGTAATTGAGAGAATTTCTGGCCCAGTGTAAAGACAGGTTCTAAAGAAAAGGTAAGTATTGTTTTGTGATTTGTCTTAGCCATTTCTGTATCTTCTTTTTCAAATTAACTTTTTAATTTGGTTCTTTCTGTTTTTAGGTCTACAGAAAGGTAATTTCAAGCTGGCCATCATGGGCTTTTCATTGATTTTTGAAACAGGCTGATTATTTAAATTCTGTTCTATGGAGTAGGGAATTCTTGTGTTTTTAACATCCGAGGATTCAGATCTGCTTACTGCATAAAATTCTGATCCTGGAAATATCAGGCTGTGTCTGGGAACTGTGTCAGGGCTGATCTGCTTCCCTGCGTCTAAGTTGTTGGTGTGTAAAGATTCCTCCAGTCCGGGAGGAATGTTGTGAGACTACAGAATGTTGACATCACATGATGTACATTGCCGTAGACCCTTGATCTATTTAGCCTTTTTCTAAATAGCTTCGTATCACTCAAATAATGCACGTACACAATTTGGGATAGAAAAATTCATTTTAGGGTATAGTAACAGGTGTTCTCTTTCGGGCTGTGCCATCCTTGCCAAACTTTAGAGATGCTTAATAAAATCGAAGAAGGAAGAGCTTGCTGTTTGTTAGTGTGAATTCAGGTAGTGAAGAATATGTACCAATGCTGGAAAGATAAGTCTTTAATAGATGGCTTTTGTGATCTGTTTTAGAATCAGAAGAAGCTGATGAACATCTGGTAGCAGAAGTGGTTGAAAAATGTTCGCCTGATGCTTCTCCTAGACCCTCAGAAAATGAGGTGCCACAGCAGGCCATTGATTCTTACTCAGTCAAGGATTTCAGAGAAGAACCTGAATATGATATTAGCAAAATTTCAGTAGTGAGGCCATTTTCAATAGAAACAAAGAATTCCACGGATATCCCGGCAGCTCTTGGAACGAAAGCAGCTCATGGCTGTGTAACTACAGTCTCAGGTGAGGCTTTGTCCTCCAGCACGCCAGAAACCATCCAGGACAGGGTAATGACAGAAGGTAGCGTGGGGTTTACTCTTGAGGCTTCCACAGAAGCTCATCTGAAGGCAGAAAACTCCTGTCCAGAGCCTGTGTCCAGCAGAAGCAAGCTAAGAAAGCCCAAACCCATTTCTCTGAGGAAGAAAACCACTGGGCGAGAAATCTCAGAAACTGAAACTGCTGTGGAGGGCACACCTTTGCCCATAGCATCCTACCAGCTCAGCGCCCTAGGATCAGATGAGAACACAAAGCCTTCTTTGCGAGAAATCTCAGAAACTGAAACTGCTGTGGAGGGCACACCTCTGCCCATAGCATCCTACCAGCTCAGCGCCCTAGGATCAGATGAGAACACAAAGCCTTCTTTGCTGGGAGGTGCCAAGATCCATAAGTCTCCCCCTGACGTTAAAGAAACTTCAGGCACTTTCAGTAGTGACACCAATGACTCAGGGGTTGAGCTGCTGGAGGAGCCGAGGAGCTCACCTCTCAAGCTCGAATTTGATTTCACAGAAGATGTGGAACATGTAGAAGCCAAGAAAGCCCTTCCAAGGAAACTTGGCAGGAAACTGGGTAACAAAGTGACTCCCAAGACACAAAAAGATGGCATCAGTAAGCCAGTAGGTACGGAACAGCCTCCAGACCCAGCAGCAGGAGATGCTCCTCTGTCCCAAGCTTCTTCTAAGCTGGATCCTGGTCATTGGGATGACCCCAGCTTTAATCCTTTTGGGGGCCACTCTGTTCTGCAGAACTCCCCACCCCTCTCCTCTAAGGGATCCTACCACTTTGACCCAGATAACTTTGATGAATCCATGGATTCCTTTAAACCAACTACGACTTTAACAAGCACTGACTTTTGTTCTACTACTGGTAATCATGTTAATGAAATCTTAGAATCACCCAAGAAGGCAAAGTCGCGTTTAATAACGTGAGTGGCAGTGGGTGCTGGGCGTTGTGTCCTGTGTATTTTCTGTGAGTTTGGCAGCCAAGTTTTTCGGTTTTGGTGAACTGAATTTATCTTTGAGGTGCATCGAGGCAGATACAAAGCTTATAACTTTATTCTGCAGTGTTTACTATTTTGCCTCTTAGATGAAATCAGAAATACCAGAGGTTTCCTTTTTAGATTTCGGACTTATTTTCTGAGTACTCAGCTTATGCAGCTAAGACCTCTGCTGCCCCACCCCCCGATAATTTTTTTTTTTTTTTATGTTTGGCGGCGGTGTGGGGAAAGAATGGCATGAAATAGGCAGGTATAAATTTGATGGTTTTCAGAAATCCTAGCTGGGCTGTCTGGAATCACTTCATATATAGAATCCAAATGTCAGGGATAGCCACCATCTTCAGATTCTCTGTGGATAGAACAAACATTCCAAGCCTACAAATTACCTGTCTAGTATCAAAAACATGTGGAAAATGGTCCCAAAAAAGTCCCACAGAGGATTTTTTTACTTAAAAAGAAAGCTATGATTTTTGTTTGAAGCAAACCTAGCACTAAACTTGGTGAGAATTCTTGTCTCCATGTGTAGTTTCTGGCTCATCAGCAAGAAGGTGAATTTCTGATAAGAATCGAGAATGTTTTAAATGATAGTTCCAGGATGGACTTTTGCAAGGTCCTTGGAATTCTGAGAGTGACGGCCTTGGGCCAGTTCCTTGTCAAGTTTCAGTGTAACTTTGTTACAAGTTTACCTTATCACAAAACATAAGTTGAGTAGATGACAATGCGACATTCAGGGAAGGATTCATATCACCTTCACATTCAATTTTTCCACAGACTTTTTGAAGTACCCTTGTATATCTGTTTGTGACCCTGTTTCATTTTACTAAAAACTAGACATAGAGAAGGACCAGTGACATGACGGCCGAGATATGAAAAGGGAGTTTGAGAATCACCATATTTGTCGTTTTCACTGTAGATCAGCCAGGGAAGTACTTGTCAACATTATTGTGACTTTGAAAAACTCCAGATGACATGGTGAATTATACCAGAAAGGAAAATACCCAGAGGTTTAAAGGGCAGAAATGACAGTTTTATGACCAAGAAGGCCGAACAGTGTAGGTAGGGGTCAGTTCTTTGGCAGCCCAAGAATATGCCCTGTAATGTCTAAGGGGAACAAAGTGTAATTGGTGGCTCTTGATCTGTTCTTTGATTATATATGAGTAATTAAATGGCTGTTGAAAAATAATGACTGACTGGGTGTTCTCACAGTCCTCTTTTGTGGCTTTTAAGGTTAGTTTCCTGTGCTAAATAGCACTTGGGGTACGTACTTGGCCCGTCACCGCCTTGGCACTTCCTCCCCTGAACATGGGATGCTTCTGACTACCAAAGGTGTAGGGAGTCATTTGGGAGCCTTCCTTTCAGTTGCATGCTGAAGAGGTGTAGCCAGTTCATTTATGTTAGATAAGATTAAATCTGGGCCAAAGGGAAGGAAATTTATTCTATATTTTCAGTAGTAAGAAGCACCCTCTCTTGAGTCCCATGACCCTCACCTAGTTAGCATTTTCCTCCTGTTCTGTTTTTGTTGAATGAACTTCTTGTTCTAACATACCTTATAGATTTTTTTAAAAAAAATTCTTATGCAATGAAAGCTCATTTCTTCGTGTTCTTTCTATAAGAAAGGAGCGCTAGACTTCTTGTGGGATTCTGGCTGCAAATCCCTTCATTTCTAGGAAAGACTGTAAACATACATGTGGTGGTAGAATCCAGTGGAGAGTTAGGAGTTTTGCATGATGTTCAAAAAGATGCATATGATTGGCTTCTCAGATCCTTCTTCTATAAAATGGAGAAACCATAATTAAGATGGGATTTTGCAGACCAAATGAGATAATTTCTGTGAAATTGTTTTAAGCTTCTTATGGTACACACCTGTTATCGAGATAACCAGATATATTTTCAACTATATTTTTATTCATGCATTGCCTTTGATCTGGGTGACTAAACATTTAAGAGTAAACGTGCTTGGCAGTGAAATACTGTTTTTATACTTTTACAAATATTTGGAAGTTTACTTTTCATCTGTAAATTTGAATTTGTGGCATTTCAGAGTGTTTTCACCGCTCTTATTCTTTTAGAATTGAGGTCTTGTTAATCATTCACTAACCAGTGATAACCTTCATGGATGTGACATTTCTAATTTGTAACACACCTCACAGAAAGAACTGTGCAGCTTTTACAGTCTGCCAGACTAGAGATAAATATTCCAGTCTTTACATGATTTTTTTCTCCATCTGTGTGTCTCTTTCCTGTCTTTAATTTTGTGGTGCATCAGGACTACTGAGCAAGTGAAATTTCTCTGTTTTCTGTTGTAAGTACTTTTGCTGCAGCTCTGTCTGTCCCAGGGACTGTCGGCAGCTTCCTCTCCCAGCCCTCCTCCAGCCATCTCTCCACAGCATGTTGGCTTCTGTTTCTGAGTTTGACCTTCTGATGGTTTTTGCATTTCATTTGCTACTCCATGAGTCAGCTTAGCCTTGCAATTGTCTGTACCTAAAGGAATGAAGATCGGCCTTCCCACCTTAGGTGCAAGAGCTTGCGCTCCCCAGCTTGGCACGCATCACGTGGCACTTTGATGATACCAAGAGCTGGCTTGGCCCTAAGACCTTCACAGCAGTGGTTTCAGGGACTCCTCTGCTCTTTAATTGACTTGGAAGTAATTGACCTTTTTTGATAGAATAAGACTGCTGGGCCGGCCCGGTGGCGCACTGGATAGTGCACCGCTTGGGAAGCGTGGCGGCGCTCCCGCCCGAGGGTTCGGATCCCACATACAGACCGGTTCCCGCTCACTGGCTGAGCGAGGCGCGGGGGCAACACCGAGGGTTGCGATCCCGTTGCCGGTCCCGGTCCGGTACGGGGGCGACACTGAGGGTTGCGATCCGTTGCCCGACACGGAAAAAGAAAAAAAAAAAAAAAGACTGCTGACTTGGGGCAGGTGATACAGTTTACTGAGTCACCTCAACTTGAGTTTGGCGGCAGAGGGTGGTGGCACTTAGTAAGAATATTAGGGAAAGGAGACCATGAACTAGTGATCATGCACATTCTGTTAATTTTTATGCTTGTCTTTTTATTTTTTTCCACAAAAGAAAAAGATTGCAAATGTTTTTTTTTCTTTTTTGATCAGAGTGGCATTTTTACTGGAAATTTTAAGTTCATTAAAACAGAACAGAATCTGAATTAGTCCTGTGATCACACATTATGAGCTAGCTTAAAAATAACAGATGGTCTAAGCTTTCCCCGATTTCTGGCCTTGCACAGTATATGGCGTTCATCTTCCATCTCCTACTGAAGAATGGTAACAGTTTACTCAAATATTATTATTTTTATATTTTCTGTTGACCACAGTTCTCTGTTAGCACAAGGTTCTAGACTGGAGTGATCTTATGAGACTTCTTCTGTGGCTTTTAGTATAATAAAGAATATTTAAAGAATCTGGTCCAGCGTGATGATTTTTCTAGTTAATGTCAAAGCCAAGCGAATAAGGATCAGAAGAGCCAGATGTCCCTAGCTGCTAAGGTTATACTGTCTGAAAGACTTTTGGTGGTGTGTAATTAAAACTGTAGGGATCAGGGTTCTGGTGTTTGACAACGCACAGAAGCAAGTGAGGTGGTATTTTCAGAGAATGAGCCATGATGTAGTTTTCTGCTTGCCCTGTCTCTTGAGAGATGATTCAGACTAAAACGTGTCTCTGCACTTCAGTGTGCAGACGTATGACTTGCGTGGTGCTGTATGCTTTGGCTTCTGTCTGCACACACGGCTCTCTGCTCCATCTCATACCTTCAGAGTTGTCAATGAGATTCCAAACTGGCTTGTTTGTGTTTCTTTCTCTTTCCAGGAGTGGCTGTAAGGTGAGGAAATATGAAATTCAGTCTCTTGCTTTGGATGCATGTTCTCAGGTAAGTCTGCCAAAATGTCTATTAGACCAGTGGTCCCCCCCCCAACTAGAGTTTGCATCCCCTGAAGGGTGGTCCATGAAGACTTTCCAATGGGTGTCGGAGTACTCAGCTTTAAGGAAACCAACTCCCAGATCCTTAATGTCCTAAAATCATCCAAGAAGGCCCCTAAAGACAGGGAACCCTTTCACGATGACCCTTTCCTCACTTATTTTTTTTTTTTTAATTCCCATTCTACATCTTACAAAGGTGCATCACCACACGTGAGAAAACCTCCAGGGCACCAAACAAAGGGAAGATTTGAAGTATTGTTGTAGGTTCTAAGAAAGTAATTGACTCTAATCACTGGATAATAATTTTTTTAAAGTCACATGGTTTTCCAGTTCATTGCTTTCAACAAAATAAGACATGAGTTGTCAGCTGATAGATCATCAAAAATAATTTTTTAAGAAATTTTTTTACTTAACATTTACTTGTACATATTTCTGGGGTACAGTGTATTGTTTCAATACATGTATATATACTGTACAATGATTCACTTAGGGTACATAGCATAGTGGTAGGGTACACAGCATAGTTGTGTCCCTGTTAGTTCACACCTTCTTCCCCCTCCCTTTTTCCCTTCCCGGCCTCTGATAATCATTATTCTACTCTCTACTTCTGTGAGAACCATATATATATATATATATATATATATAGCACATAGGTGTGAGATCATAGGGTACTTGTCTTTCTGTGCCTGGCTTACTTCACTTGACGTGATGGTTTCCAGTTCCATTCATGTTGTTGCAAATGATAGGATATCATTTTTTTTATAGAGCTGAACAATATTCCATTCATTGTGTATATATTCCACAGTTTTTTATGCATTCATTTATTGATGGGCATTTAGGTTGATTCCATCTCTTGGCTATTGTGAACAGTGCTTTGATGGACATGGGAGTGCGGGTGTCTTTTCGACATAACTGATTTCATTTCCTTTGGGTACATACCCAGTGGTTGTATTGCTGGGTCTTAGGATAGATCTATCTTTAGTTCTCTGAGGAACCTCCATACTGTTTTCCACAGTGGCTGTGCCAATTTACACTCCCACCAGCAATGCCAGGAGGATTCCTTTTTCTCCACATCCTGGCCATTTTGTCTTGTTGATAATAGCCATTCTAACTGGAGTGAGATGATATCTTATTGTGGTTTTAATTTGCATTTCCTTGATGGTTAGTGATGTTGAGCATTAAAAGTAACTTTTAATGATAGGATTTTTTGGCACAGAACTTGGTGAGGGATTCAAAGAATTAAGAGATATTTCTATTACAAAACTTCCTTTTCATCTATTTATATAAATAATTGTTCTCACTGATTGTAAAAATGGAAACCAGCAATAAAATGATGCTGACCCTTGTTCATTCTAGAAATAGACTATTCATCCATGACTGTATGAACTAATTAGGAAACACAAATAAATACCCATACCCATCTGATTGCAATAAGATCTTTTTTGCTTTTTAAAACTTTATTTCAGCATAACTATGATTACAGAAATACAGTCATATTGGTTAATAGAATGCAATTTAAGTTTAACTTATTCTGCAGTTTGGACCAGAAACCTGGTACATGGTTTAAGATGTAAAAAGAAAAGGGATGGGGGGGTGGAGTTGCAGTCTGAGTTATTCATCTATTACAAATGTGTAAAAGACCTTCCTCAAATTTTGCTAAAGCAAGTAGCAACAACTATGAGAAATTTACATTTGGTTACTTCAAAAAACAAAACCCACAATTGCACTGTAAAAGTTTTAAAAACTAGTGCAACAAAACATTGTAATTGATATAAAAAATATACTTTTGTGTTGTTTTCATTTAAGTTTATTTTTTCTTAATTGACACATGATAATGGTATATATTTATGGGGTACAGTGTTATATTTTGAGTACGTGTATACAGAGTGCAATGATCCTATTACCCTGAGGTCACTACATATCCATCACTTCTACTTTTGGGTTTGATAATACTTATCAAAATTTGCAATATTGAGCATTAGTAATTGTAATGATAACTTTTCAGAAGAAAAAAAAATTTAACACTTATAGACAAAAAACTATTCATTTTTTTTAAACATCTTATTTTTTTTTAAGAAATGAAATTTATTTCTTACAGTTTTGGAGGCTGGGAAGTCTACAGTCCACAGGTCGCATCTAGTAAGGGCCACCTTCTACAGCGATGCAGTGGACTGAGCAAGAGAGAGCTAAACTTCTCACCTGCTCTCCTTTTAAAGATATCAGAACCATTCCCATTACTCCGTGAATGGACCTATCCATCCACAAGGGCACAGTCCTCACTATCTAATCCATGGGTTCAGATTCTCCTACAGGCCAGCCACCAAAAAAAAAAAAAAGAGTTCCTCACAATCTAATCACCTTTTAAAAGCCCCACCTTTCAATAACCATAATAGGAGTTCCCACCCTATTAACACTGCCACAGTGGGGAATAAGTTTCCAATACGTGAACTTTTGAGGGACACGTTTGCCTCTGGCCCCCAAAGTTCATGTACTTCTCACGTGTAAGTAAATTCATTCTATCTCCAAAGTCTTAACTTGTTTTAATTCAGAAGCCTAGAGTCTCATCTGTGAAATCAAATAAATTATCTCCTTCCAAGATGTAATGGTAAGACAAGCATAGCATACATATTTTTCATTCAAAAAGGGAGAAATAGGCCAAAAGAAATGGATAACAGGTCCTAAGCATGTCTGAAACCCAACAGGACACGCATCTAATCTCAAAGCTGATAAATAATCCACCTTGACTCCATGTTCAACATCCTCTGCACACTGGTGTGGGGCTGGGCCTTCACATCTCCAGGCAGCCCTGTTCCTGTGGCTTACCTGGACTCAGCCCGTGCTTTAGCTCTCACAGGCTGGAGTTCTACGCTGATGGCTCTACAACTCTGGGATCTCCATGACGGTCCCTCTCCCGCGGCTCCACTAGTTATGGCCCTGACGGGGTTACTCTGCTGCAACCTCGACCTCACATTTATGGTCAGAATTGCTCTAGTGAAGGCTCTCTGTGGGGACTCCGTCCCTGTGACAGATCTCTTCCTGGACCCCCAGACACTTCCACACATCCTTTGAAATGTGGGTGATCCCTCCATAGCTCTTGCATTCTGCAAGCCTACAGACTTAATGCCACGTGGACACTGCCAAGGTTTCTGGCTTGGATCTCCCAAAGCATTGGGCACAGCAGTACGTGGGGCCAACTTAGCCAGGGCTGGAGCAGCCAGAGCAGTTGGGGTGCTAATGCAGTGAGCAGCATCCTGAGGTGGCCTTGGGCAGTTAGTCCCTGGAGGGCTCCTTAGGCCCGTTCCTGGAAACCATTCTGTCTCCCAAGGCCTCTGGGCCTATGGGAGGGGATGCCTGGAAGATCTCTGAAATGCCCTCAGGGTCTCTCTTCCATTCTTTTGCTTCTTCTTTACAACTAAGACCTTCTCAGAATGGCCTTGACTGTTCATATTTCTATCAGCATTTTGGTCACCACCACTTAACCAGTCTCTAAGTCATTCCGAACCTTCCCTGATCTTGTCTTCTAAGCCCTCACCAGAATCTAGGCTTTTTCTAACCTGTTCCTCCAAATTCCTTCAGTCTCTGCCCATTACCCAGTTCCAAAGCCACTTCCACATCTTCAGGTATTTGTTATAAGCAACACCCCACTTCTTGGTACCAGTTTTCTGTATTATTCTGTCTCTGTTGCTTATAACAGAATACCTGAAACTAGGCAACTTATAAAGAAGTCAAATTTATTTCTTACAGTTTTGGAGGCTGGGAAGCCTACGGTCCAGGGGGACATATGATGAGGACCTTCTGCAGCAAGACAGGGTATCACATGGTGAGAATGGGCTGAGCAGGAGAGCTAACCTCTTTACTTGTCCTTTTTTTTTTTTTGTCTTTTTTCGTGTCCGGCAACGGATTACAACCCTCAGTGTCGCGCCCGTACCGGACCGGGACCGGCAACGGGATCGCAATCCTCGGTGTTGCACCTACACCTCGCTCAGCCAGTGAGCGGGAACCGGTCTGTATGTGGGATCCGAACCCTTGGCGGGAGCGCTACCGTGCTCCCAAGCGGCGCACTGTAGCAGTGCGCCACCGGGCCGGCCCTCTCATCCTCTTAACATTCTTATAATGGAGATCAAGTTTCCAATACATGAACTTTGGGGGACACATTTGACCCATAGCAGAGACCTGGAAAAGACTTTTAGTTATACAAATGTATTTCATTGGGATAATTTCCTTATGGGAAGTGGAGTGAAAATACGAATTCAGAAAGGAAAAGGAATAATGTAAATTTCTGACTATTAAAGAACTTGTCTCATCCTCTTTTTTTTTTTTTTTTTTTTTTCCTTTTTGTCTTTTTTCGTGTCCGGCAACGGGATCGCAACCCTCGGTGTTGCGCCCGCACCTCGCTCAGCCAGTGAGCGGGAACCGGTCTGTATGTGGGATCCAAACCCTCGGCGGGAGCGCCGCCGTGCTCCCAAGCAGCGCACTGTAGCAGTGCGCCACCGGGCCGGCCCTCTCATCCTCTTAACATTCTTATAATGGAGATCAAGTTTCCAATACATGAACTTTGGGGGACACATTTGACCCATAGCAGAGACCTGGAAAAGACTTTTAGTTATACAAATGTATTTCATTGGGATAATTTCCTTATGGGAAGTGGAGTGAAAATACGAATTCAGAAAGGAAAAGGAATAATGTAAATTTCTGACTATTAAAGAACTTGTCTGATTACGTTTTTTTTTTTTTTTTTTTGGCAGCTGGCCAGTACAGGGATCCAAACCCTTAGCCTTGGTGTTATCAGTACCATGTTCTAACCAAGTGAGCTAACTGGCCAGCACCCTGATTATGTTTTGTAATGATGAATATGCTAATTATCCAGATTTGATCATCACACATTATACACAGAATTGATATTCAACTCTATACCCTATAAATATATATAATCAATTATGTTTTAATTTAAAAAATTATTTTTTTAAAGTGGATCATAGGGCATCAAATCACTAGAGTAACTAGATTGCATTAATAAGCAAGTTCAATATTTAAAATATGCCAGATAGTACATCCTTTGTAATTATTTACACTTAATGCTGGAAAGTTTTTACATGTCATTTGTAAGTACAGAGGGTACATAGATTTTCAAAAAAAAATTAGGTATATGAGCAAAAAATTTTGAAAACCACTATCTTGGACCACTTAAACTGATCACTTATAGATTTAAGCTAGGAAAGCCCAGTTTTTCAAACCTCAAACTCAAAATTCAGCTAGGTTCTAGAAAACATAGCATTTCGTAATTGAAAGACCCTAGCTTCCTCCTTGCTTTGTACCCATGTCTGTGGTTAACTCTGTCACATGTCCGTATGGAACTATGGCCACTTTGCTCCGTTCCTGAGATGTCACTTTTCCCCATTGTTTGCCCCTAATGGGTATTCTGTTTCCAGGATGAAGGAGCAGTGATCTCCCAGATTTCAGACATTTCTAATAGAGATGGCCATGCTACTGATGAGGAGAAACTGGCATCCACATCATGTGGTCAGAAATCAGCTGGGGCCGAGGTGAAAGGTGAGCCAGAGGAAGACCTGGAGTACTTTGAATGTTCCAATGTTCCTGTGTCTACCATAAAACATGCGTTTTCACCCTCAGAAACAGGTATGGAAGCATATCTTCATTTTTCTATTGTACATAAGCATAGAAATGCCTGAAATCCTACAGCAGGAGGTCCTTAGAGAGATTAAAGAATTGGGTCACTTGAAGGGTAGATTTAGGATGCTGATCTACACTTCGCTTCTTTACCCAGAAAAGAGACACAAAAATGCTTATCAAAGTCCTGAGGACACAAGGGTAAGTGTGGCAGGATATACAGAAGACACTGATGTGTGCAGCTGCTTGAATTTCCTTGTAATGTTATGTTAATGTGGCCACATCATAAAGCACGGTGGCCTGTAAGTATGTCGTACATCTGACTTCTTTGTGACTGTGTTTAACTTACAGAAGTAATAATAACTAACATGCACAGTACTTACCACGTGCAGGTGTTGTTCTGAGTGCTTCACGTACAATAACTCGTTGCTCCTCTCTGGGGTTACTCTCTTCTCCATTCTTCAGAGAAACGAAGTGAGGCACAGTTGAGTAACGTGACCGAGGTCACTTGGCTAGTGTAGGAGAAGAGTCTACTATCTTCTTCCCCCATCGCAGGGTCATGGCTGGGACCTCTGTAACAAAAGACAGATTAACAGGGGAAAAGCATGCAAACGTATTTAATAAAGTTTTATGTGACTCAAGTAAAAGTAAAGACCAAAGAAACAGGGAGGACTGTGTTTATGTGGACAGTGTGCAGAAGCATGATTAGCGGGCAGAGGGTGTGATGGTTGTAGCTGGAGGGACTTAGCAAGGCCTCTTTGTTCAGACCTCAGGGTCTCTGTGTCTCTGAGGATAAGAACATTCTTTTCCTCCAGTGTAGGGAGGACTGTCTGGCGTGAGGATCTGAAGACCTATTTTCAGGGAAGGGCAAGGGCAGGGAGACCTTCTTGCATCTGTTGTGTTCTCAAATGCCAAGGTGCCATATTTTGGTGTAGTGTGTCCTGAACCCTGTCACTAGTAAATGGTAATCTCAAATCTAAGCGGTCTGGTTCAGTGGTCTTTTAACCACAGTGCTAAAGTGTGAAGAGATTTATTGTCATTACACTAGGCTACTGTAAATTTTCCTATCACAGATATGGTAGATCAAAATTAACCAATGTCCCCATACTGGCCAGCCACCAAAAAAACCCACAAAAAACAAACAGGCAATACTGACCAATGCCCTGTAAAATCCTTCTTAACACTCTAATGATGAGCCGGCACTAACCCTGCTTGAGTCTTCAGGTCATTCTAGTGCTAAGGCCCTCTTCAAGGTCCCAAGTTACATCTATGCCTCCAACTTTACTTACGAAAAGTATAGAACCATGTTTCCAACTACATCAAACATTATTAAAAACTCGGTTCTTCTTAAGAAACATAGTTTAATTTGTGGCCTTTTATGCTTAGAATTTTAGAAGTCATCATCTGCCAACAAACCAGGGAAACAAGTGGGAAGTCAGGATTTGGAGCAGTTATTCCCCCACCGCCCCCAGGTCTCAGTTCCATCTATAAAATAAATGTGCCAGGCATTGTTCTGGTTTCCTCCAAGGCCCCTCTGCGTTGGCATGTTTCCCAAAGGCCTTGTTCATTCCCGATATATCTTTTCCCAAGTTACTCTGGTAATCCTGAGTATTCTTTCTCCTGTGTTTGTTACTCCTACTTGAAATATTTTGTCGTCTCCTACAAAAATTCTGCCCGTCCTTTCAGGTCTGTCTCAAGTGTGACTTGGATCCCACGGTGCTTTATGCTCCTACTACATTTCTTCTTAGATTTCCTGTGCCACAGCACCAGCACAGTGTATTAATTATAGAACGCTAACTGTTAGAAACTTCGTGAGGTTAGGCACTGTGAGAGGTTCATCTTAGAATTTCCTCTGATACAATACTTGGTAAACATTTGTTGAATTATGTTCTTCTTCTCTGGAGGAAGTTCCTTCAACAGAAATTTATAGAGAGAGCTGGAGATCTATTAGATACAGTGCTATCTTCAAAGTTAGTAAACAGCTAGTCTGCTTTGGAAAGTGGAACAGATTTAAACAAGCTGTTACACTATAACTGATTAGCTGTATCACAAGAGCAAGCAGGGGCTGTGGCCATGGGGTGTGGTTGGTGGTGACCAGCTTTAAATTTCCAGCCTACAAAATTAAATTTATTATCCTCTCCACACTCTTCAAACTGGTTTCCTTGTCTCAGGTCTGTCTTCCACTCTACCACTAGAGGCAACATTTAAAAACCAGAATACGCACTCATTAAAGAATTTAATAAATATACAAGATTTTAAAGCTACATTCCTCCATGTAATAAACTAATTACAATTTTAGTCAGTAATTTAAAATGCAAATGTGACCATCACTCCCCTGCTCAAAAACCTTCAAAGCCTCCCCTGTTCCTGTCTTATCTGCTATATTAATTAGATTGAAAGTACCCTTCTGGACTGGAATTTAAATTCACCAAGCCTAGGTAGTAAAATAGCATTGTTTTAGTTTCCTCTTTCCGGGGTTAGTACAATTTATCTGACAAACTTTTAATGGACACAGGGGGGCAGCCTTGCTGTTCTTTCCGCCTGAAGATTGACATCTGTTTATGGCAGACTAACCATGCACTGCTCTCTCCTGAATATTATGGACTTTTAACACTGAACTGTGCAGCGCTCAACAAAATGCCAGTGCTTTTAAAAAAAAATTCTTGAAATGCTGTTCATGTCATTTCGGCCTGCACTGGAGTTTCCAAGAGTCCTTCACTAGGAAGGAAAGGAACGACCTTCTTGGGATAACTATAAAAATGACTTTCTGTATTTTAGGCATAGAGGAAGAGACGTGCCAGAAGATGGAAAAAGATGGATCTGCTGTGCTTGTAAGTTCCTAAACTTGGAGGGATGCGGTGGAGCTCAGGTTTCTTTCAGTGTCTGTTTTACAGCCCATGTTAATTTGTTAAATAAATTTTAAGAAGTCAGTGTTAGGTGAAGAGGATAAAATATAAATAAAATAGTTTCTTCATTTGAGGGATTCATGTCTATGCAGTGTTCTGTATAGTAACCAGTAGCTGTATGTGGCTGTTGAGCACTTGAACTGTAGCTAGTCTGAATTGAGATGTCTTGTACATGTAAAATAGAACCAATTTTTGAAGGTTTAGTATTAAAAAATATATAAAATGTCTCAATAACTTTTTATGTTGACTAAATGTTGAGATGATAATATTTTGGACTATTGGGTTAACTAAACTATAAAAATTAATTTTACCTGTTTTTTTTACTTTTTTATTGTGGCTACTAAAAAATTTTAAAGTACATGTAGCTTCCAGTATAATTCTCTTGAACAGTACAGGTGGTAGATACAAAATGCAAACCAACAATACCGTGTGATGACTGTTGTAACAGAATGTGTTCACTCATGTTCCTCAAATATTCACATTTTACATAATCACAGTAGTCATCAAAATCACTAATACACTTACTGTTGATGTAGTACTGTAATATATAAACCTATTCAAATCTTATCAGTAGTTCCACTGACATCCATTTTCTGGTGCAGGATCCCACATTGCATGTATTTGTGATGTCCTTTGTCTCCTAAAATCTGTCACTGTTCCTCAGTCTTTTCTTTTTTTGTGAACTTGACAGTTTTGAAGAGTACTGGCCTGTTTTAGGATATCTTTCAATCTGGGTTCTTTTAATGTTTCTTCATGATTAAGTTTGGTTTATAGATTTTTGGCACAAATACAACAGAAGTGACGAGGTGGATGTCAATGTGTCCCATCATGGGTGGAGTTAACTATGATCACTTGGTTAAGGGGTGTCTGCCAGATTTCTCCATGTGAGCAAGTCTTAATGGAAGAATGAGGTTCGCCAGGCAGATAAGGCAAGAAGTGCATTCCAGGCAGGAGAGCTGACCTGTGCAAAGGCAGAGAGTGAGGAAACATATGGACTTTATAAGGAATTGTAGGTATGAATAAATTCATGTGAGTGAAGGATACTGTATAAATGGTAGGTAAGGGCCAGATTATCAGGGGCTGTAAATACAGTACCAGGAGGTTTGGAATTCATGGTGGAATTGGTGGGTAACCATTGTGAGGGTTTAAGTAGGGAGCAATGGGATTGGTGATAGGCCAGAGGCTGAGAGATTTAGCAGGTAGAACCTTCACTGCTTGGTGACTCCAGTGACATACGTGGTGACTGGAGTGGGGCTGGTAATGAGAGAAAGTTGAGGAAGGCCACTCAGTTTTTGCTTTGAACATCCAAGTGGTCATTGTTGCTGTTAACCAACCCTAGAGGAGCTGCTCTCAGGACTTAAGCCTCAGTTTCCTCACCTGTGAAATAGAGTGATGCCTGCCATGTGTGCTTATGAGGCTGCAACCCCACATTGCACCACAGCAGGTTGGTCATGCACTTAGGGAACCAGTTTCTTTTGAGGTATTCCAAGTACTGTAGGTGCACTCCCGGGTATTTTCAGTGCTGAAAAGTAGCTGTTGCTCTGCAGCATCTTTCAGTTAGGAGTCAATTTATTTTTTTTCTTTTAATCTCAAGCTTTTTGAAAGTTGAGTTCACTTGGCTTTTCCAAGTGTGTCTCATGGTGGGGGCTGGTGCTGCTCCAGTGGGTTCAAGGACAAATGTCGGGGTGAGCACAGTCAGTGCACAGTGACAGGTTAGTGATGCTACATGCAGGAGCAATGGATCTTTGTGGCATCTGTGTTCACTGTAAATTTGCAATTGGGAGTCCACTGAGTTTTATTGTCTATAGACAGGTCTTTTTTGGCCATCAGTTATGAATGCTTTGACGGACTGGGAGGAAGGATTAGGGAACGTGGAATCGAACCCTTTTGGAAGGACATGATTAATTGATTTAGCATCTTTGTTAAACATATACTAGACTTCCCACCCTGAAAGAGATCATTGGGCTAATTCTTTGTGATGGTTAGAGTCTACAAGCTTTCTGTAATGTTTGATATGCAATATAGAGGACTAAGGAATATAAGAAGTTAAATCCTAAGAGACTGGAAAGAGATGGGTAAAATAGGCCATGGCATAAATTCCTGCCCTTATTACCTTGTAAGAGCTGCTGCATTTTGTGTGGTAAGGCTTATGGCATGTGGACAGGAGAGAGCTGGCTGACTGAAGAGCCTATTCACCTGGATACATTTGCCACCATCTGCAGCCTGATCTTCCACCTCCATTTCAGAATGCTACCTCCTTTGGACACCACATTTGGTAGTATTAAGTTTCTAAAACAAGCAGGCAGACTGAATTAACTTATCCCCTCAACAAATGAATGAAATGCTGAACTCTATAATAATGGACATTGATATTTTCCTTACTAAGAAGACTCTTTTGGGCTTATTTCCTAAATTCTCAGTAATGTTATGGCCATGGGAGGCACAAAGAAGCTGTTTCCTAGAGCTGGCTCAACGTGCAGATTCTGGCTTAAAATAATAAAAACCCACAAAAGACTGCTTGTAAAACGAATTAATTTAGAATTGGAAACATAACAACAAGGTAACCTAATGTGTCACCCTGCCCTAGTGCATTCTTTCCCTTTAGACAAGTGACATCAGAAGCAAGATTGTGAGGGAGTTTCTTGATAACAAGACACAGGAAGTTAACGAGATGATTCACATATCCAGAGGTACTGCAGTGTAACCGATAACTCCCAAACTTAAAACAATTACCATTTACTTACCAGGGCTATGGTCACCCAGGCTTGACTTGGGCTGGATCACTTCCCAGCTCACACACAGGGTTGTTGGCAGAGACATCAGTTCCTCACCATGTGGGCCTTTCCCATGGGGCTTCTGAAAACATGGCAGCCAGAGTCTTTTTGTAACCTAATCTCAGAAGTGACAACCCGTGGCTTGCTTTATTCTAGTAAGTCCCTAGGTCCAACCTACATTCAAAGGGAAGAGATTACATGAGAGGATTAGTACCAGAGGCTGGGGGTGTTCGGGGCCATTTTAGAGGCTGCCTGTAAAAAGTGTCGTCTGGTTGTTGTGATGGATCTATCCCAAGACAGAAAGAAAGGGATTCTGGAGGGACCTTGGACTTCTGTCAGCATGGTGGGCTGCCCTCCCCCAAATGCTGCTGGAAAATGGGCACTGCCAGCTGGTGGCTTTTGTATTTACCTTTTCTATGGCCTAAGATGGGTTTCTACATTGGGCCCACGGCTGTGTGTGTGTGTGTGTGTGTGTGTGTGTGTGTGTCTATATTGGGCCCACGGCTGTGTGTGTGTGTGTGTGTGTGTGTGTGTGTGTGTCTATATTGGGCCCACGGCTGTGTGTGTGTGTGTGTGTGTGTGTGTGTGTGTGTCTATATTGGGCCCACGGCTGTGTGTGTGTGTGTGTGTGTGTGTGTGTGTGTGTCTATATTGGGCCCACGGCTGTGTGTGTGTGTGTGTGTGTGTGTGTGTGTGTGTCTATATTGGGCCCACGGCTGTGTGTGTGTGTGTGTGTGTGTGTGTGTGTGTGTCTATATTGGGCCCACGGCTGTGTGTGTGTGTGTGTGTGTGTGTGTGTGTGTGTTGGGGCATTTTCTAGAGAAAGAGTGAGGCTGTAATGGCCTTAAAAAGTTTAAAAGCCACTGGTCTGATTGACTTTTTGGGCCTTCTGTTCAGCCTTAGTTCGAGCGAGATTCCAGAGAACTGAGTGTGTGTGTGTGTGTGTGTGTGTGTGTGTGTGTGTTGGGGCATTTTCTAGAGAAAGAGTGAGGCTGTAATGGCCTTAAAAAGTTTAAAAGCCACTGGTCTGATTGACTTTTTGGGCCTTCTGTTCAGCCTTAGTTCGAGCGAGATTCCAGAGAACTGATTGATTATAATCAATAACTAATTGATCAGTCATACTGACATTTAAGATTAAGATTATTCCCTGGTGACTTTGGCTGGCATTTTGAATGTTCCCAAACTCTTACATAACACATTTATACAGAAAGTTTATATCCATAGGTGGAGGAAATAGCCCCCAAAATGCCTTCTAGGAAGGTAAATAATACATAACAAAGTCCATGTTCTTGTGAGAAACAAAATGCTTAGCAAATGTGTCTGGAACCTGCGCTTATGAGAGAAGCGAGCCAGCACGTCAGAAGGTGAAGCACTGCCAGAAGGGAGCTGAAAATAGCAAGAAAGAACCAAGGAAACGGGCACAGATCCTGTGGCCATTCTGTGTATGGCCAGATAAGTACGTGCAGCTGCCAGTGTCCTTGCGTTCCAGCAGGGCGTCCCTGCAGAGCAGCTGAGGCTCGCAGGGATCCCGGATTGTCGGGTGGGAGGGTGGGCATCAGAGTGCGGATATATTTGCCACTTTTGCCTCCGTAGGCCTGAAAATTAGTAATATGTTTTGGGAACATTTCTATCCAGAGTGGCTAAGTAAAAATACACACAAAGCATCAATATGTCAAAGGAGCAACTGTCACTTTTTTTTGAAAAATTATGTGCATGGAATACCTTGTCTCCAGAAACCCCCAGAAAAGCGACACATTGACCATGGGTGTTTTTCTCCTTTATGTATGTGATTCTTTGGTGACTGGCCACTGTTTCAATCCCACTTATTTTCTTTTGGACATGAAGAAAACTTCTCCAGGTTATCTTTTCAACAGAGACCGAGACCACCATGACAATTGTCTTAACAGTTTTTCTTTAGATAGTACTGTAATAAGATTTGTTTTTTAATAAGCTTTCTCCTGCTTTTTTTTTTTAAAATACATTTCTAAAGGGTGTGATCAATTTAGTAATGAAGAAGTCATTGAAGGGTATTTGGGGTTAAGAAGCTGAAGACAGGGCTGAGCCCGTGGCGCACTTGGGAGAGTGCGGCGCTGGGAGCGCAGCAGCGCTCCCGCCGCGGGTTTGGATCCTATATAGGGATGACTGGTGCGCTCACAGCGCTCACTGGCTGAGCGCGGTGCGGCCGGTCACAAAAAGGACAAAAAAAAAAAAAAGAAGAAGCTGAAGACAGCGTATTCAGTGTAACGCCATCCTCCACAGGGGCCGTCTGAGTGCTCTACAGAGAAGGTCCCTGTATCCACTGCCTGCGGAGGTGAGAGCCCTCTGGATGGGATCTGCCTCAGCGAATCAGAGAAGACCGCCGTGCTCACCTTGATAAGAGAAGAGGTAAAGGCTCTCTGTTCAGTCTGCTTATTGTTCCATTGCTTGTAAAGCCCACATGCCAGCAGGCAGATGCCATCTCTGCTGGCTTGAGTTGTCCCAGGTGGGAAGTTCTTTCCTGCAGCTTGTTCAGCTCATATAAAGGACTCCCTGTAAAACTCAGCACTGGTGCTAGAGTCCAGACATTCTGATGACTGGGAAAAAAAGCTGACAATATGAAATATTCTTAAGAATCTTGTACCCTTCTTTGTCTTTCATTTAGCCTTGAAGTTTTAAATATCTAATTTTGCCAACTCTGTTCATATATATAAGTAGTTCAGTACCTTCATTTTACAGAGGATATATATATGCTCATGCCTAAAAATTTCTTCAGTTCTTTGCAGTAATATACAATTATTTTCTTCTTTCACCCATTCTTTAATTAAACAGTTCAACTCTCGATTCCTGTATTGTGTTTACTGAACAGCTCATGCCTAAAAATTTCTTCAGTTCTTTGCAGTAATATACAATTATTTTCTGCTTTCACCCATTCTTTAATTAAACAGTTCAACTCTCGATTCCTGTATTGTGTTTACTGAACAGGCTCAAAATAGATCACTGCTAGGTCTTTCCTGAGTGATCTGAAAAATATGAAGGACACTGTTACATACTAATAATCAGTTACCATCCTCTCTCCTGTTACATTTCTGTGCTGTATTTTATGTGTTTAGTTTGTTTCTTGATGATTCCACTTTTTTTTCAGAAGGTGTAACAATTTTATTTTTACAATATGATGTGAGTAGTTAGTACTTTGGCTGTAGGTTTTTTAAACCTTTATAAAATAGCATCAGGTTGGTAATGAGCAATGTCAACTGGTCCAGTTGTCACAACTTGGGAGCAGTACTAAGGAGGCCCACCAAAATCTTGTCAATGAGAAAAATGACTTTGTCTTCCTCCAGAGAGTTAAACAATGAGATGGCCACCTAATGGATCGAAGCAAAGATGTGCCTAATTAACTGAAGCAGACAGGATGGCTTCTAGGTTCTTGAGACTGAGGCACCAAAATAAAGAGTATATCATTTGGAAGAGAGAAGTGCAGTAAAAGCAGGGTGATAGACGCCCACCCAAGTTTGGTCCAGGGCCAGTGGAGTTTGAGGTAATGCATCCAGAGTGTTTCTTCCCAGTCAGCAAGAGCATCCCGGATACGTACATGGGTCTGGTCTGCCTGGCCTGATCCTGCCCGTGATGAGGGATCCCACAGCTGGGTGCATCCTGCTCCAGGCATTATGCTTCTGAGCCCCCTTGTTCTGACTCTGTCCTTATCAAACAACTGAAAATCTCTACAGAAAGAGAATGTGCTGCTCCTTCCAGCTTCTAATGCTCTGGTTTTGTGGCAGTTTCATTCCTCATCCAAAATGAATTGGTGGTCTGGCATCTAATGCAATTATGTGGCTTTGGGTGAGGAGAATCTTTGCCAGTCAGTGGCTCTGCTCTGGGTGTCCCGTTCTGATCAGAGTTCTGGGCCAGCAGAGTTGAGAACCACACCCTGGACCAAGGTAAAATTCACAGAGGTTGTAAATAGCACTTGGGATTCCTGGGAGATGTTCTGCTCACCTTTACCCTGGTGGCTACATTCCAGCATCCTGTGTGGCTGAGAATACACTTTCCAAATGTTTATGAACATCATTTGTAAATGTTGAAGTTTTGTATACCTAATGTAGTTGGGAATGTCTTGGGTTAGACCTGTTTGTGTGTTGTTTTCAGTCTCCAATCTTAAATTCAAACTGTAATAGATTGATTAGGTAAAACTAAGCTTTATTATCTAGATAATCACTAAAGAGATTGAAGCAAATGAATGGAAGAAAAAATATGAAGAGACCCGACAAGAAGTCTTGGAGATGAGGTTAGACTGGAGGTTTCGGGGAGGGGCGGATATGTTTATGCACTATTAGAGTTAATACGGATGGGGCTGTGAAGCGTTTGCTTAGCACAGAAATGCCGAGAGTTTGAGGGCTTTGATATTTGCACCTTACTATGTAATTGAGAATATGGTTTCATGAACTATTACTGATCAGTTGTTGTATTCAAATACTATAGCTCATTTTGGGTTGTTCAGAACATTACATGTCAGCAGAACCCACATAATTCTTGTCTTTTTAAAAGAATTGACAGAAGTTTGTACAAAAATAACCTTTTGAAATACAGAGTAATGAAATTTATTGATATAGTCAATGATGGAGGCATTGAAATTCATACTACTACTTTAGGGCTGGCAGGTTAGCTCAGCTGGTTAGCGTGCAGTGTTATAACACCAAGGGCACGAGTTTGGATCACAGCACCAGCCAGCCACCAAAAACAAAAACATAATACTTTTAAAAAATAATTATACATGGTAGCTTCAAATTACATAACCACCAAGTAGATTATGAAAAGCATGTTAACAAGAAGCAAAATTTATTGACTTTAAATTGAAATCTTTTTATTTTTCCTGCTCACTCCCTAAAAAGAGTCATGAGCCATGAAACGAAAAAGGTGGCATCAGAGAAAAGAAGGAAAAGTGTGAATAATTCACATACTGTACAGTCAGCACTTGAATCGCTAAGAAACATTTTCAAGAAGTTTGTGGGAAAATAGAACGACAAGATAATATGTATCTTTCCATGGACTTTTCGGAGTGCTATCGTGTGTCTGCTCTGATCTATGGCCCTTGTGTTATTGTGTTTTGAGCACTTCCTGGGTGTTAAGTCCCTCTGCTGGGCTTGGTGGAGAGGAAGGGATGTCCCTTGCCTTTAGTTTGCAGTAGCCACTGTAAGTAAGCTAGATCCTGTGTCAAAGTGGCAGCACCACCAGCGAGGGGCAGAGGGCAGGGGAGAGGTGACCATCTTTCACTGGGGACCACAGGAAGAATACCAGCACTAGACAGGCTTGGAAAGATGCTGCTGCACTTCACTAGAAGAAAGGTTAACCCAAGAAGGTGATTTTTAAAGCCTTTGAATAAGTAAAATACTTTGGAATTGGGGCACAAAATGAAACTTGTAACAAAGGGGACAGAGTGCCTGAAAGGGTGAGTCAGGGCCAGGAAAGCCTGAAGGCAGATCAGATCTTGTAGGAAGAGCCCTTAAGACAGTCTTTTTTTTTTTTTTTTGTCTTTTTGTCTTTTTCCGTGTCCGGCAACGGATCGCAACCCTCAGTGTTGCCCCCGTACTGGACCGGGGACCGGCAACGGGATCGCAACCCTCGGTGTTGCTCCCGCGCCTCGCTCAGCCAGTGAGCGGGAACCGGTCTGTATGTGGGATCCGAACCCTCGGGCGGGAGCGCCGCCACGCTTCCCAAGCGGCGCACTATCCAGTGCGCCACCGGGCCGGCCCAAGACAGTCTTTAACTTAATTCATAAAAGACTGATTTGTCTAAGTGGAATTAATCTATTGCCTTGAGGTATTCAAATAGGCACGAAGAAAAAGGGAAGGGATTTATTTCTACAGAGTAAAAGGCTTGCTAAACATAAAATCTTGAGAAAAACCTTTTTGAACTTTAATAAACCTTATGTAATGTTAAAAAATGAACTTTAATAAACCTTACGTAATGTTAAAAAAAAAAGAAAGAGAGAGAGGGCCCCAAAGCAGATAAATGGGTTCGCTATATTGCAATTTATGTTTTTAATTGTTCGGGGCGCATTACTCCAGCTTCCATGTCTGAATTCTCTTCTGATAATAAATTCTCTCTCTTTTTTTTATTTAGGAAAATTGTGGCTGAATATGAGAAGACCATTGCCCAAATGATTGGTAAGGAGAAAATTGTTTCTCTAGGGAATGAGCCATAGGATCTGTCCTGGTCTGTTCAGGCTGCTGCAACAAAATGCCATAGAGTGGGTGGCGAGTGGGTGGCGTGCTCAGTTCTGGAGGCTGTGAAGTCCAAGGTCAAGGCACCAGCAGATCCAGTGTCTGCTGAGGCTGTGTTCCTCTTAGAGGGAGGCTTCTCACTTTATCCTTGTGTGCTGGAAGAAGGGGCTAGGGAGCTCTCTGGAGTCTCTTTCATAAGGGCACTAATCCTGTTAATAAGGGCCCTGCCCTAAGACTTCATTACCTCCCAAAAGGCCTCCCTCTTAACACCATCACATTGGGGATTAGGTTTCAACATGCGAATGGGGGTGGGGGGATATAAACATTCAGACCATGGCAGGATCCATGGGTGATTTTCAGATAATACAAACTCCAGTTTGTCACTTAGATACAGTTCAGTCTCATTATCCATGGTAGATGTGTTCTATAAAGTTGCTGCAAACACTGAATTAGCAAATAGTGAACCATTGCTCTTAGGGGAAATACAGGGTTAGGTTCCTGCAAGCATCTGGTTATGTATTTGCTGACTGATCAATACATAACCTTGTCTTATGTGTGTTTCTGTTTGAAGATACCTTATTTAATATATGCTGTTGATCTGCTAACACTGAACACTGCCAGTTGGCGCTGTAACTCATGTCTGAACGAGCTTATCTCACACACGTTCTTCGAGGCCCATCACAGCCTTCCTGTGAACAGGAACACTGCACAGCACTTCAGCAGCACCTTTGGGGGCCATTTAAACAGTGAAACCACCCACAAAAAAAACAAAAATGCACATAATGTGGCACCAAGTAGACCACAACAGGACACTTGATACAGTGTGGAACAAGAAGGCAGAGCATGGCCTTGCTCGGCCTCAGCTAAGGATGTTCACTTCAGGTGATTAAAAGTTTTCACTGCTCTGCACATGTCTGCAAATGGCCACGAAAGCCCACCAGTATTGAAATTGGGATTACAAATAAGTTCTAGGAAGTAGGTGAATTCTCAAATACAGACGCCGCAAATAATGAGGATCAACTGTAGTTAGGTTCGTTTAGAGGACAGCAAATGCTTGAATTCTGTGAAAATCCCCTAGTGTTGATGGCCTAGCCACATCACTCTGGGGGCAAAGTCCTTTCTCTGTATCTGACCCAGTGGTGCCTTTACAGAACAAGGGTATTTGATCCTCCTGCATTGAATTTAGAGCCTCTCGTAGTCCATATTGTAATGGTTGACTGTAAATCAGGGCCTGGTCTTTGTGCACTTGAGTACTGAAATGATGTTGTCTATCGTGCACATCCCCCAGTGCCTGCCCAGCTCGGGGCCTTTGGCCGCGGCTGTCCTCCCAGCCACCTGCATGGCTCCCACCTGCAGTTCTTTTGGTCTCTGCTCAAATCTCTCCTCTGAGAGAGGTCTCTCCCCCACCCCCATCCTCTCGCTCCACTCACTTGTCACCATACATCTCCTGCAACTAGGATGTAAGTCCTCGAGAGCGGGAACTTTGTTATCCCACGGCTGTGTCCCCACCACCGGGAACACTGCTTGGCTTGCGCAGAGTAGCCATTCACGATCTGCTGAATATACATGCTGTTTCCTCTGACTTGTGATTCCCAGAAGATGAGCAGAGGACAAGCAGGACATCTCAGAAGAGCTTCCAGCAGCTGACCATGGAGAAGGAGCAGGCCCTGGCCGACCTCAACTCTGTGGAAAGGTCCCTTTCTGATCTCTTCAGGAGATACGAGAACCTGAAAGGCGTTCTGGAAGGGTTCAAGAAGGTAGTGTGTCTTTTTCCTTCTGTCTCCTGGCCAGCAGTGTATTTCTGGTAATGGATCGTCAGATGTATATGCCAGAGGTGTTGGCAGCCTTCCAAAGAGGGGCACAGGGATTGTCAGCCTGTGTCTTCTATTCCAGTGAAGCTGGATTTTTTTTCTGCTTTCTTCTTTCTGTGGTTTTCAGGCATCTTGTCCTCTGGATGGTGTGTCTTGATCATTCCTTGGTCATTTAGGGATCAAGTAATAAACCCCAGATACAACCAGGGTGTGGAGTGTAAGAACTGGAACCCTCGGGCATTAGGAGAATTCTAGAACTATTCTTTTTGATAATTTACCTTTTTAACATTAGTAAAAGTAGAAAGGAATCCATATCACTGAAAAATTCAAGCTGCGTATTCTAGAAGAAATTAAGTGTAATATTGTAAGTTTAGATGTAAGCGGGCATATGGATCTAATTTAGTTGCATACTATCAATAAGGCACATAATAACTGCCTTCCTAATGTAGGTGTATTGATATAACTGAACCTTACTGTATGATGTTGGAAATTAATACATGAAGAAATTATGTAGAAATTCTTCAGTGAGAATTGCATGGTGCCTGTTTCACATTATCCATGGAGTACAAATTAAAGGCATCTGAATTAGGTTTTCCTATTTTTAAAAAAATGAAAACATTGATACATGATGTATTACTAGTAGAAGAAACAAAATGACCAGTTTATTTTAAATTTTCACTTTGGAACAGAATGAAGAAGCCTTGAAAAAATGTGCTCAGGATTACTTAGCCAGAGTTAAACAGGAGGAACAGCGATATCAGGCCCTGAAAATCCATGCAGAAGAGAAACTAGACAAGTAAGAGCTTGTAAATTTGAATTTCACTTTTCTTAATGTTGTGGGAAAATTGACAGAGGCAAAAAAAAAATCTCTGTTTGCAACTCCAGCTTGTGCTTTATTTCACTTTTTGAGCCATCTTCACATGGTTAAACCAGAAAAGGTATGAAAGGGTTTACAGGATCTCGTGTCCACCCGTGGCCCCTTCTGCTGCGTTCTCACCTCTTTCCCCACCCAGGTAATCACCTCAGTCTGATTTTTTGTATTAGGCTGTAGGACTGTAGCATGCTTCTACTGATGGGCATTTAGATACCGTCACACTTTTTTCCACTGCACACAGTGCTACGGTGAACATCCTTGTGCATTCGCCATTGCACCAAGTGGAGTATTTCTGTGAACAGACAACTAAAAGTGGAATTCTGGGCCAGAGGGTGTGTCCACTTTAACTTGCCTGAGTTACCACCGTATCGCCTTCTGGAAAGATAGTGCCGGTTTCTCATCCCTCCCATCAACACAGGAGCGTCTGGTTTTTTGTACCTCAGCCAACCCAGGACAAGACCATTTTTGTTAATTTTATCATTTTAATTTGCATACCTCTGATTACTGGAGAGGTTTCAGCATCCTCTCATCAGTTAACTGAAACAGTTTTTAAGATTTCCTTTTGTGTCTCTTTAATAAAGTCACTTCTTTTAAGTCTGTGTCTCATAGACTTCAGTGGTTAGATCTTGACTCTTTAGCTGTGATAATCCCCCAAGTGATCCAGCCCACTGTTGTACTAGGTTAAAACAAAATCTCAGATTCTTGTAGAAACTGTTATGTACTATAATTCCAACTTCCAGTGAAATATGAATTTTGAAGGACATTGTGGACCCTGAGGTTGACTCCACCATTGCTTTGTGCCATGGAAATGTCCTAAGAAGTTGAGTATAAGTTGAGTTTTTAGCAATTAAAATTGAATTATTTAAATCACCAATTCTTGTTTTTTTTCTTTTCATAGTCAGTTCTTTTGGGTCTTGACTCATGGATGTCAGTAGTTAGGATCCTGACTCTTTAGCTGTGACCGATGTTAATTATGTGCTTTTTGTCTCTTTATTCTGCAAACAAAACACCGTAAACAGAGCCAATGAAGAGATTGCTCAGGTTCGAACAAAAGCAAAGGCCGAGAGTGCAGCTCTCCATGCCGGACTCCGAAAGGAACAGATGAAGGTGGAGTCGCTGGAGAGAGCCCTTCAGCAGAAGGTACAAGAAGGGGTTTGGTCTAGATGACTGCAGAGGCGTTCGGTTTTCCTCCTCAGCAGTGGCTAGAATCAGTCCTCTGTGTGCTTAGCTTATGGTGGATCTGGCTAAGAGGCCTTGCCTTTTTACTGACACTTCAGTCCAGCTATTTGTGAACTGATTCAGATGGAGGCAAACAAGTCAGCCCACTAAACTTCTAGGCATATTGTGGGGGAATCATCTACAGGCAGGAACAGAGAGGAAGTTGTGCTTTAACTGACGTTCAGGGAACCGAGCACTTGTTAGCCGAGGTCCTGAGACTGCCTTTCTTTCTTTTTGCTTTTTACGCAATGTGTGAAGCCACCTTCCCCTCTCATTGCTTTAGATCAGTGCTTCTCAACTGGAGCAGTTTTGCCCTCCAGGGGACATTAGGCAATGTCTGGAGATATATTTAGTTGTCACAGCTGGGAGGTGCTACTCGCACCTAGTGGGTGGAAGCCAGGGATACTGTTAAACACCCTCCAGTGCGCAGGACAGCCCCACAACAAAGACTGACCCATCCCAGAATGTCAGCAGTGCTGCCGTGGAGAAACTGTCGTAGGCAGATGAAAATCAGTGGCAGCCAAGGTCCCTATCTCTCACTACCAAGCAATTTTTAGCTTTCTTTTTTATCTGTCTGTCTCTAGTGTTTTACTTACAATTACATACTTATGCCTGTGACACCCATTCAGCTAAAGCAGGAGTATTTGTCATGTAGTCTCATAGCCCCTAAGACAGTGTTCCCTGGGATATTCAGACTTGAGAATCCCAGGTCCCCGCATATGCTGATGACCCAGATACCTGTGCTTTTAACAAGTACCCAATGTCATTCCTGTGATAACAAGAATATTTGGGAACCAAGAGGTTTATGGACACGCCTCAGGGACTGGTGACTGTCCTCAGCCTCTACTCAGCTAAAGCATAGTTTTGTGAGTACACGAATTTTTTCCGGGGCAGAGGGTCAACAGCACTTCCTTTCTGTAAAGGCTGTCTAATGGGCAAGCACACCTGGCGGACAGTGCTGACGAGAGCTAAGTCTTAGGCTCACTTCCCTGGAGCTGTGGGATGACTTCCCTGGTCACCACGGCAGTGCACACATGCTGGGGTTTCCTTTACCTGTTCTGTAAGTTGTATCAAAACATCCACTTAAGTTCTTTCATTTGTACCATTCCTTCAAATAAAGAAATTTGTTTCCCCCCCAAAATAAAATTTTTTAAAATTAAATAAAAGATCTCTGATGTAGAAAAGTTAAGACTCACTGAATAGGATGTCTAAGTAGGGTCTAGCCAGTCTTGAGACTATCTGTAGTTGCCTTTATCTCAGAACACAAAGTGGCCTGCATAATCATATCATTTATCTTTCAGAACCAGGAAATCGAAGAACTGACAAAAATCTGTGATGAGCTGATTGCAAAGCTGGGAAAGACTGACTGAGCATCCCCCATTAGCTCAGCAGATCTGCATTTGGCCGCTTCTCTCATGACCACAATTATCTTGCCTTATCCAGGAATAATTGCCCCTTCGCAGAGAAGAAAAAAAAAAAAAGCACATGCCTGTAGCTGCCTGGCCCGCTTTGCTGCCAATGCAACAGCCCTGGAAGAAACCCAGAGTGTCGCACAGTCACGAGAGGACTGTGCTCAAGCGCTGGAGTCTTTTGCAGTCCTGTCCATAGGTTCAGTTAGACAGGCTGCTGAGCGTGGGTTTGTGATTCCTCTCCCTTCAGTTTGTTTTAAAGTCATCTTTACTTTTCCAAGTATGTTAAATTGATGGTTTTGTGGCTACTATTTGGGGTCATCTTTCTACCACCTTTCGGATTTTAATCTTTTAATTTTCAATATCAGTGGTTTTATTTTAGGAATTAATTTGGCCTATTGTTACTTTCAGTTTATAAACAAAAAGGGGCTCTGAGTACCCTTTTATGCACACGTATATATAAATATATATATGCTGCTGCTGTTTTTCCTGAAGCGTAGTCAAATAAGAAGTTCTCTCCAAAAGATCAGATTTCCTTACATGTTAAAACCCTATTTTGTTTTTTTGTGGCTGGCCAGTATGGGGATCTGAACCCTTGACCTTGGTGTTACAAAGCTGTACTCTAACCAACTGAGCTAACCGGCCAGCCCCATAAAACCTATTTTGAAATAGAGGCCTGGCTCAGAATGCCAACTTAAGAATTTGGGGAATTAAAGATGTGAACACCGCAGACTCGGGTTTCACATGTAGGGAAGACTTTTTGCCATCTCTCGTTGCCCTGGTATTTGGACACTCCTCAGCTCTGATGGGTGCAGCCCTTTTGGGGTTAGTCCTTGCATTGAAAGTAGTGTCTACTTTCTGCATAAACAGCAGTGTGGGACTCCCTCAAAGCTGGGGTTTGGCGAATCTGCTCTCTAGTCAGTCTCCTCTGTTTCCATTTGTTAATACAAAGTCAACATTTAATCTTTGTTATCTTTCTATTTAAATATGCGAGGAAAATCTACTTGCAGAAGGTTTAGATGATCTTATTAAATGGTAACTGTAGCCCCATTAGCAATTGTAAGGTGAAGAAACATTTGTATTTCTAACAAGTGTGATGCATTCCTCAGATATTTTTAAAAAGGAAAAATCCTTTTAGACTTCAGATAGAATTTGTAACTAAACAGGCAGCAAAAGTCATGTGCACCACTCCAAAAATAAGAGCATTTTGAGTATGTTTAAACAAAGACAATTTGAATACTGGGGAGGGGAGTGCAGGGAGAAGGTCCATACTAGCAAAGTCCAGTTCCTCAAGCTCTTGCTGGCCTCAGTTCAGAGTTGGTGGGACCTTAATCCCAGTAGAAATTGTCCATGTAATGCCAGTGACTTCCCTTTCATTTGGTAGGTAAAACCAAACCCATGCAAGTGTTTAAAAGCTCTCTTTTGTCTTACTCTTACACTCTGAAAGTCTTCATGGTGATATGCACTGTATTCAGTACATGTGTCCTTCCTACTTTCCTTGTAAAACTATTGCATGAAGCAGCTTCAGCAATGAATTGTGCCTAGTGGATAACCTCTATAGACCTTAAAAAATGAATTTTTCTTTAGCAGCGTATTACTCACATGGGTGCAGTCTTTAGCCCCAGGGAGATCAATGTCTTTTAAAGCCCGAAGTCACATTTTACCAATATGGATTTATCATGATTGGTGCTTAGGCTGTATTTTAAAGCCTATTATCATAATATTTTGTACAAAAAAGAACAACAGGAGTGATCTGTGGTTGGAGAAGTGGCTTGACAATCATTTGGGCTTTGAAAGTAGTCACTGTGGTTTGATGTGAATGTTCTGTTAGTGTCACAGTATCAAGTACTAGTGTCTGTCTCAGTCCTTGAGCACGAGGGAAATTAATTTTGCATTTCGCAGGAAAAATGTTGCTAAACCTTTTTGCTGCTGTGTTTTGGTGACATCTCCATATTAACTTGTTTTGTATTGATCTGTTTGAAAGGCTTATGGTGGTCTCCATTATAAATCCATAGCCATCTTTTTAAGCTTATTGTGTTTTAAAAATAGCTATGTGTTAAAACAGAGGTGGCGACAGTCCTTCCCCAGCACACTGGTAAAGAGACCCCTTAGAAACTAGACCCTAGTGAATGAAGTCAAGGAGCAGGAATACAAAAGGGCCCTTGTTAGGTAAGGTTTGCGACTGGACTCTCAGCTGTGACCACTGTTCTAGTGAAATGTCTTTCCAAGGAAATGTCCACCATTCTAATTTAATGGATGGGTACTCTTCAACAGGAATAAAAACGCAGCTTGTGCAGCTGGCATATTAAGAGAACATACCAGGGGCTGGCCGTTAGCTCACTTGGTGAGAGCGCAGTGCTGATAACACCAAGGTCAAGCGTTCGGATCCCTGTGCCGGCCAGCTGCCCCCCCCCCCCCCAAAAAAAAAGAAAAAATGTCTTTCCAAGGAAATGTCCACCATTCTAATTTAATGGATGGGTACTCTTCAACAGGAATAAAAACGCAGCTTGTGCAGCTGGCATATTAAGAGAACATACCAGGGGCTGGCCGTTAGCTCACTTGGTGAGAGCGCAGTGCTGATAACACCAAGGTCAAGCGTTCGGATCCCTGTGCCGGCCAGCTGCCCCCCCCCCCCAAAAAAAAGAGAATATAGTGGGGCAAAGTGAAGTGTTTTTTTATTTTTCTTTTAAAATGAGAAAAAAAAAAAGAAAACTTTTAGAACTCTGGAGAGTAAGAATATAGTCTAGAGTTTGCTTGAAATGTGTGAGCGCCATACTACTTGTTAGCAGTAATGACCCACGTTATGAGTGAGAAGGGAGAACAGAAGGAAGCTGCTGGCTCGGCTTATGATTCGGGAACATCAGGTGATCTTGCTGAGACTGGATCCAGAGCCAGCAGCTTTAGTTTTTCACTTTTCCAAAGTGTAGATAATCTTTAACAGTATTTTAATTGGAGACTTTGGTGTAAGAGACTGAACGATTTCCCGTTCGGCTAGCCTTGATAGTTGGTTGCAGTCGGACCTCCTGAGATTTCCTTCATTTGGTGAAGCTCCTTGAAGCCAGAAGTTTTTGTTCTGGAAATACTGAGAAGCCCGTTTTCACACGTGGTTTCTAGCTTCTTCAGATTCAGCCCAAATTAGGAAGTGCAGAAGCACATGAGTGAAAACCCCGGGATCTGCAGCCTTCCAGAGTGGTATGGGATCTAACGGGGAAGATTGATGAGTCGCTTTGGAGGACAGCTCCAGCTGAATTTTCTTTCAGAGAGTTACCCTTTCTACGTATCCCACATTTTGTGCAACTCTCATATGAACACTTAGATATTTATGAGACAGCCCTGAATTCTGTCTAATTATAAACAAGGAGTATAAACCGCCCCAAATCTTCCTGGTCTGACTAAAAGAGCCGGGCTGACTGCTCTCACTTTCAATAAAGGTAACAGAGTTACAGAGTTGGGAATGATTCAGCACATCCTTGTCAGGGGGGTCAAAGTTTTAAAGCCCCCTTTTACTTCCTCTTGGTTTTCATTATAGTTGTTAGCCATCTCATGAATTGTTTGCGACTGCGTGACCTTGCCCTCAGACTTGGGTTTCTGACTTTATCCTGTTGGGAAGAGAGAAGCTAGGTGCTGAAAGATTAAATGATTCAAGCAAGGGATTTTAAAGTAAAGATGTATATATTATGAAGAATTTAAAAGATAACAGATTATTGTTTGCTTATTAAAGAACAAATATAGTCTGGGAATCCCAGAATGTTAAGCCAAAGGTCTAAAAAGTCATCTTCAAAGACTTGAATAAAGAAATATTTTTAGGAGATATTTGTCCAGAAATGTTTGACTGGCTTCCAGGTTCCAGTTATTTTTAAAATGCAATTTACCACTCAGTCCTTGAGTCCCCCATAAAGTAAAGTGAAAGGGACTGATATAATAGACTTGTCTCTAAGGATGTCCTCTGGGAGAGAATATCAACAGCAGCATTCCGCAGCAAAGACCCACTCCCTGCCGCCAGAGCTTACATCCTGGAGACTAAAGATTGCACTTTTCCTAGTCTTTCATTCAAATGCAATCCCATTTCTGTGCCTCTTAGCATGCAGTTAGATTTGGACAAACAAGATTCCTAAGGAATGACTTTTTAACTATAATATGGTTGCAGCTATTATAGAAGTATGTATTCTGGCTGAAGTTCTAATGTGGAATGTGGCCTTTGATGCTGGCCCATTGCAGTCTGTATGATGCTTTAACTCTCGGGGTGGAGGCCAGGTTGGGAGCTGAGGTGCGGCCTGAACCTTCCCCCTGTCAATTCTTCACTTTGGAGCTGTCAAGATGCCACCCCCCCCCACCTCCACACACACCTTTTAGTGGTATTTGAAATATACTGCAAAGAGTATTTCCTAGTTACACCATTAACTGATATTCTATATTTATGAATAATTTTCAAATGGACATATAAAAATTTGAATTCTCAGATCACCACCAGTCTGGTCGCAGGGGAGTGTGTAGGTTACTTTGCCCACAGCTTCAGCCTCGTCTTGCTCAGCCATTGGGATGGGATCCAGGCATTTCTTTGAAAACTCAGAGGTGGCAGTAAACTTGTCATTGTTGCTGTTAGCAAGTGTGTTTGCCATACATACCCACTGTACTCATGTGCCATCTGCTTCCACTGTGTCCCTGCGGGTGCCACAAAGCATGTGAGGAGCTCCTCTGGAGGGGTGAGCGCTGCACTGACTACTGCTATCAGGATTGTGTTGTGTGGATAATCATCTACATAAATTTTATATGCACAGTAATTTCTCTTTTTATATGTCAGGTAAATATTTGTAAAAGTTATACTCACACAAATTATTATAATGATTGCTAATATATTTTTTCCATGTTTCATTGCCTGAATAAAAACTGTTTACCACTGTTCAATATGGGTGTGTGTGGTGGTTGTTTCTTCTGGTTATAAGTAATTTTATCTCCAAGTGTCAAAATTTACAGCAGCCTCCTATGAGCTCCACATTTCAGTCTAAATATAGAAAAGATGGCATTTTCCATACACTCATTTTGTGGGGTTTTATGCATTTGGTTTGATGTGTGATTAAAAGCAAAAAACAAACTTTGGGATTCAGACCTTGCCATATAAATTTCTGAGGCTTTGCATCTGTGCAAACAGTTTTTAATGGGGTGCTTCTTGGTTTTCCTGAGAGAATGATTGTCTGCCCTGGTATTTTTCAAGTCATAAGAACCTAAGTCACCCCAAACTTACTGACTTATCGAAGGACACAGGATAAGCCAGAACTGTGTAAACACTGCAGAACTGCTCACAGAAAATAGTTGACGTTATTTGTTCCTTCTAGGTTAGAACCAGGAAAAACTTTTTCAATATTGGACAGGCCAGCTCTCTGCTTAAAGGGGAGGGGGCCAGGCAAGAATTTTTGTGGGTTGTATTTCAGGAGAAAGATAGGATAGTTAAGGCTCCACTTTACAACTT